ATAATGGAATACTCTCCGACACACAGAACGGATTCCGTCGAAACAGATCCTGTGAAGACCACATATTTACCCTTACTAACCTAATACAAGATCGTAAATCTACCTTCGTTACATTCATTGATCTTCAAAAAGCGTTTGATTTTGTGAACAGAGATCTTTTACAGTATAAACTTCAGTTAAATGGAGTCAATGGTCCAATATATAATGCTATTTCCAGTTTATATTCTGAAACATTCTCTTGTGTATGTGTAAATGACTTTCGCACAAATTGGTTTGAATGTCCTAACGGTGTACGTCAAGGAGACAACTTATCACCCACCCTATTCTCCCTTTTCATTAACGATCTAGCAACAGAAATTTCACAACTGAATACGGGAATTTCTATTAGTGATCAAAAGATAAGTCTTTTATTATATGCTGACGATATTGCCATTCTCAGTGAAAATGAATCAGATATGCAAAAATGTCTTGATACTCTTACCAACTGGTGTAAACGGTGGAGATTAAATGTGAATTGTGCCAAATCAAATGTCATGCACTTTAGAAAACGCCACATTCCTCAAAGTCAATACAAGTTTAAAATAGGAGAAGAAGAATTACAGTATGTTAATCAATATCGATATCTTGGTATAATCTTTCACGAGAAGATGGATTTCAATATAGCGGCAGAAACTCTTGGTAAAGCAGGAGGGAGAGCATTGGGGTCAATGATTTCAAAAATTCATGATTATAAAGATGTCGGATTTAATACCTACGAAAAGCTTTTTCAATCTTGTGTACTTCCTATATTAGATTATTGTTCCGGGGTTTGGGGATTCAAAACATATCATTCTTTAGAAGTTGTACAAAATCGTGCTATTCGATATTTTTTAGGACTACATAGATACGCACCCGCAATCGCTTTAAATAGTGAAGTGGGCTGGATAACACCGACGCACAGGCGCTGGATCAACATGATTAGAAGATGGAACAGATTAATTGAAATGGACGATGACAGACTCACCAAAAAAGTTTTCCTCTGGAGTTATCAAAATAATGGAACATGGTGTTCACAAATGAAAGAAATTCTATATAAATTAGATATGAACACTCATTTTGATTTCCTCCGTACATGTGATATAAATCAAGCCAAATGTAAATTATTTAAGCTTTGCGAAGAAGAATGGAAATTGAAAATATTGTCGTTACCTAAATTGAGAACATTTGTGACTTTTAAAAATAATTTCGAAATGGAACCTTACATAACGATGAACATGAACAAACAAGAACGCTCCATAATGGCTCAATTTAGATGTGGTATCCTTCCGCTACGAATAGAAACAGGCCGATTTAGAAATGAACCACCACAAGAACGTTATTGTGTTTTATGTAAAGACGGATCGGTAGAAGATGAAAAACATTTCTTATTTCATTGTAAAATCTATGAAAATATCAGAGAAACTTTTTTTCACAATGTTAATTTAAACAGAAATGTAGATCTAGTTGAAAATTTAAACACTTTAATGAAAACTCATCAAAGACAAACTGCCAAATTTTTAAATTTATGCTTTTCAAAAAGACAAAAATATTTATACCAACCAAATTGATGTCATGCGCGCTATCCTTATTGAAAATGGAAATACTGTACATATATTAAAGTGACATATAGGTCCAATGGGCCGGGTGTAATGTATATACGTTTATATTGTATCTATTTGTTGTTTGAAAAACCATACACATGTCACTATAATAAATATTTACTTACTTACTTACTTACTCTGCCAAAAGATCTGATTCTTTGATTGATGAAATAACGTAAAATCTTTGATACTTAGATTTATCCTATTGAATATAACTGTAATAGAACTTTGATTTACTATACTTTACTATAGTATCGTTTAAGATACTTTAGTAAATGATAACTGAGTATAACATTTTAGCTTAGGCTTGGCCTCCTCGACATTTCTAGCTAAAATAATGGCCAGAACAATACTTAAACATAAGCAGAACACCTCTTACAAAGAAAATTTGGTAATGAATGATATAGTCTTAAACAGGCTTCAATATGACAAAATTGTGTGGTCATTCAGCACGTTTTACAAATTCGGTGTCGTGTGTCATATATGGTCCTTTGGAGACTTCTGATAAAAAAAATCGTTTATTAACATGCTTGTGGTATGTATAACATCTCGTTATACAGGTAAGGATTTTTTTTTTTTTTTTTTTTTTTTTTTTTTTTTTTTTTTTTGGCCAGGTTATACTTTCTAATACTTTTTGTACTTTTTAACTTTTTCTTTTTAACTTACAAAATGTACATGTATTTCACTACAACCTCATAGTTAAAAATTGTAAAGAGATTCCATTAATTGTGATTATCATTTCAAATTTCTGGGCTCAAATAGATCAATCTTGTTTTAACTCTGAAGTTTTAATTGAATATCCTGTCTTGTAAATCTTAAACATATGTTACGTGCAGTAATTTTATTTTTAAAAGAATTATTTTCATATTTGTATGCATTTTTGCAATCATGTATTTGTTATTGCCCTTGTAAACCACTGCTGTTACAGATTAGAGGTACCTACAAATTCCACCGCTACGTGGCAACATTGGTCAAAACTGGATATCGAAAAAAAGGGATTTGAAAAGCTAAACGTATACAATATCTATTATCAAAATTTGATGTATTTTCGAGATGAGACCATGGCCATGTTTAATGGTTTGTGTACCGAGCTCTCCCTCTTTAGCCAGTAATGTAACTTGTGAATTCTTTACATTTTTGTTTATCAATGAAAAACTTATCTATGTCAGTTTTGCTGGCCATAATATTAATGGACTATTGTTTAATTTGAAGGATTTATAAAATGAACACTTGTTTATGTTATTCATTTATGTATTAGGTTTTGTGGATGTATGTTTCCAGTCGATGTTTTACTTGTTTTTGAGAAACTATTTGTTTTTGATTGGTCAAAGTTTGTCCTAAGCCTAAATGTTTTCCAAGGACACAATTTGAGTTGAGTTAAAAGAAGTTAGATAATGTTAAGATATTATTTACCCACATTGTACATTTTGTGAAAAAGTCGATCGTCGTTTTGATAATAAATTACCATATTTAATTCTACAAAAACGGTGACATTAATCAAAGAGCAACCATCAAAAAAGCTTTTTTTAAGCTTTTCTTTGCCGTTATTATTTTTTCGATATGGATTATATTTTTTGAAAAAAGAGAGTGTTTTTAAAAAAAAAATGCTAGTAGAACGTCATGTATTGATTTATTGATCAAGAAATGAATTTCGATATATTTTTATCTGCAAAAAGCAATATCTGAATTTCTTTAAATAATTAAATTTCTATGTTACATGTAACTTACAAGAAATATAATTACCTTCATTCATGCAAGTTCACTTCATTGGATTTAAGGTTGAAATAATGAAAATTAATCAATTTGAAACATTTTTAAAAATGTGCTTGTAGATTTTTTTCTTTTATACTACCAGTGAATGTTTTCTTCTTCTTTATCAGTCAATTTACATATAGACAAACATAGGAGGTATTTTAATCTCTTTTTCAAGTGTATATTTGTCTAACTACCACAAATATATTGAACCAGAATAATGAAAGATTTCAAATTCAAATTTGGCCAAATTCCTCTTAAAATTAATATCATATTTCTTGAACTTACGTTGTAATCATTGTTCCTGTAAGAATCATTTGATCTAAACTAAAACGTCTCAAATGGTTAAATGAAGGAATTTCTTGTTAAAACAGATTTTAAAAACTCTTTTGAAACTTATCAAGGTTAATGATCCATGACCTTGAACTCGACCTTGGACGTTCATTTTCCCTGAAAATGTACAGATCATATATAAGCGATACTGCTTTATCAGAAAGATCGTGGACTGGCGCCATAAAATTGAAACCGATTAAGGGACATCAATGAAATTTTACACATTTATTAAACATCATATTTTCTGTCTACAGAATAAACTATAAGACAAACGATTTGCCTTATAAGAAGGTGTCAATGTTTCACTAAGCAATGGTATGACCAACGTACGACGCATTTTTATCAGAGTCTAACGGAGATAACGAATTGTGATCAATCTCATAAATTTAGTAAACAAAATGAATCGTGAACAGGGCAAAAATACGGACCCCTAAAATCACCGGAGGAGGAGTCAGTTGTCCAGGAGGAGCAAGCATTCCCTGTCGACCGGCAAAGTAAAACAATTTTCCACTTTTATCATTTTTTGTTCTATCTTATCTTATTATGCATTTTACTCTTCTGATTCTGCTCCGCTTGATTTTTATTTTTCACCTCAAACAGCATAATAATCGCTTTAATCTCTCTTAAGAAAAACCTAAAATGGTCCATCATCTAGTTTACAAAAATTTGAAATTCTATATCCATGAATTAAAACAGTCAAAAACATCTTTATTGATTAAAATGCTTATTATTGTCAATTTACATAAAAAGGAAAATATTCATCAAATGAGTTTCCAAATCCTAGCTTTTAACATATACATTTAGTTACTTATGATATTTGTACATGTGTTTGTTATGATAAAAGTTGGTAACATCACAAACATGTTTCATTCATAAGATCCTAGAAAGGATTTAATGAAAATATGATAGCGTTCGATATGGCTGGTTTTGAAGACACACATAACGTAGGTATTTATTTTCAATCCTTCATTATTATACAATTTATAGAAACAAATCTGTCCATAAATAATAATGAAATTAACAGAAATTTCTTAAATGATTTTTAATATGATATATATATTTGGGGGAAAACACATATCCATTTCATCTTGGTATTGTGAACGGATACCGGTATAAGCTTAATTATAAGGATTTAATTTATAGATCAGTTAACAAGAATGCTAATTCTGAATTACACTAGAGACGCTAATTTACAAAATAGAAGAAACATTCACAAGTTTTTTTTGTGATATATTTAGATATACACAAGTTTTCAATTACGGCGTAACAACACAAGTAATGTATAGAATTACTTACCTGGTTTTTGCAGTGTCAATGATAAACCAGTTTCACTTGTTTAATATTTAACCAAAATATTCACTCTAAATTGTGGGAGTGTTTGGTGTTTATAACGACATGATTATATCCAGAAATGTTTAAATTAAATATGACAACCCACTTTTCTTCCGCTGAACAGGTTAATCCCACCTATCAGGGTATTTATACTTACCTTTTTGTTTCTATTAAGACGTTATAGATGTGCGGTGTCGCCGTATTAGGATTGACTAGCCCAGGAGAGGGCGTATGTGATGTAAACATTTTTTTTGTAATCGATGACAATAATTACCGTAAGACAATGTTATTCTCCCTGATTTTCGCTCAGCAAGTAAATATTTTCGCTTCATTAATACCAAGTTCAAACTAATTAGTGACGCAGTTTTACAACCAAATGTGCTTCCTTAATTCTAAGTGTAAAGTTTATTTAAGTTAAATGGAAAATGATCAATGTGAATTTTCCTTGGTTTATTGAATAAAAGATTATCATGTTATATTTCATTTTTTTCTTTCTCTGTATAAAAAGAAACATTGATACATTAATGAAAAAAATAACTTAAATTTATTACATCTTAACATTTAACTGCTGATCTCCAAATTTTTTACATGTAAATATTTGATGATGACATACAAGAAATGAAAAATAAAAACTTGAATTCATTACATTTTAACATTTGAATAACGATCTTCAATTTGTTTACATACAAATATTTGATATAAAAAAATTATTTTATACCTCATACATTTTAACATTTAAATGCTGACCTCCTAATTGTTTAGATATAAATATTTGATTTAAAAAAAAAAAAAAACGAAACAAAACTCTTTTTTTTTCAATTTATTACATTTTTACATTTAAATGCTGACCTCCTAATTGTTTACATATAAATATTTGATAGAGGGAAAAGAAGCCATGATATTGTTTGGGTTGCCTTGATTGTGAATAAAATTCTCTCTCTCTCTCTCTCTCTCTCTCTCTCTCTCTCTCTCAAATTATTATTATCAAAGAGTTATTAATAAACAGCTATGAGTAAATATGAATCACATGAAGTAATACAGGAATGCTGCTTTTTTAGTGGTTAAAATTTGCCAATTTGAACATATTTTTCCTACAAGGTGTGATTGAATGTTACAAGTAAATTTAATATATATTAAATCATAAACTAAAAAAGTGCCTATCTTACGAGTCATGGACTTTATAATTATCTTAAAGTCAATCTATCATAAGTTTGATTCTTACTTGAGGTTAAAAAAAACTGAAGTGAAACAAAGTTTAGGTTAAAAAAAAAAGAGTTGTAGGTGGACACGGTATTAGATTATTTGTCATCGTAGTGTAAACGATTACCTCTCTCTCTCTCTCTCTCTCTCTCTCTCTCATAACAGGGAAGGGAGTATTTACAACATTCCTCGTGAAGGAAAGGAAAATTGCTATCGAGTTTTGCGGCACTTCTTTCTGATATTCTTTCACTCTGTGACAAAATAATACTTTGATATTCTTTCACACTGTGACATAGTATCACATTTTTTTTTTCAATCAATAGATTACAGTATTTCACTGTTGAAAATATAATACATTGCTAAAAGTGACCTCCTTGTCCGATTGGAGGGATTATTCGTTTGATTATTTTATTTAGTGAATGTAAAATTGTGTATAGACTGGTGTTAGCATCAATCACAAACTAAGATAATGAAAATCTTTTTTGCTTTGTTGGGTGTTTCCTTTCAGATTTTAATTTTCATTTTTCAAGCTGTTAATTCTTTTAACATCTGAAAACTCATCGTCTCAAGCCACGGTCCGGAGTCCGCATATAGCTCTCTCCAGAATGGGAGATGATCGAACATTTTGGCAGTGGTTTGCGACGATGTTGAAAACTGTATTGCAAAGAAAAAGACAATATTGGGGTCCATGAATGGTATTTACATGTAGCATACTTTCTAAGGCTGCCTTTAAACATACAGCTGCAGAATATTTTTTTTAAAAAAAAGCTTTTCTTCTCCCTCCCTCTTGCGTTTAAAATTTTAGTTGACGTTAAACGTAAAGACAACCTAACTTGCTAAAAATGTATTTAAAATGTATTAAAACCATTACCGTGCTTCTTTCGAGAAATCAAAATTTAAAAATAAAATTATCCATAGAAAGGGTATCAGCAGATTGAGTTAAATCGATTATCTCATTTACAGAGAATTATTCATATCTCGACATTATTTTACAAAAATATAATGAAATTTAAAAAAAAAATCGGTAGGCAAGACTACGTCGTAAATCTAATCCAAGGTCAACTGGTTATATAACCAAGGTCAAATCTGTCTCCATTTCAACGAGGACAAACAAAAGTAGGGCATTTTTGATAAACATATGCATCTAGCCATTGTTTTTCTTTTCTTTCGTAACTTTTATTAATTGTTAATTATATAACTGGATATGTAAATTGTTATTCAAATGATCATGATTTTCTGCAGAAGATTTGCAGACAAACGACGCTCTGGACTTATTAATAAAACTATTATTCTGGCAGTCAATCATTTTTTCAAGGCCAACAATGTCCAAAAATAAATGAAATTGTTCAAGATGAAGTATCTTTTAATATTCTTTATATATACTCCTACTTCTTGATATCAATTACTATCTTTTGCGTATCTCAAAACTAGTGCATGTGTAAAATATACACTATAAAAGCAAACAATTCATTTTAGTATTTAGGATCGAGATCAAAAGATCGATGTCTGATGAATTAAAAACTAAATTTTCATAGTAAGGAGAAAGGGTTGTTAGAGCTCATTTTTTGATATTTTCCGACATCAATATTTACCAAATATTTTACCTTTATGGAATTGGTCTTCAAAATGTTTCTTTTTAGGAACAGACGTAATAAACGTAAGAAATGATAATAGTTTTCTAGATTGTTATAAATCATCATCAGTACTCGATAAACAAATTTGAATCATGATCCGCATTCATCAAATTTAGTTGAAGGGGGGGGGGGGGCTTGATAAGAACTACCAAGTATGTAAATTTAGTTTTTGTGAGGCATTGAACTCCCGTTAAGTTATAGATACAATTTATGATATACACCTGCCTTGTCTTTAAACAAGCTCTTATTTAAAATGATATGCCGTTCTGTCGTACTACTTATGATATTTCACCGAAAATTTTGGAGTTTTTATTCTAATTATTTTGCTACTAATGCATTGGCACTACATGGTGTCGACGACATTCCTTCATTCATCGAGTTCTATCTGCTATACACTGTATGTATTAATTCCCTACGGATGAAAATATAGGAAACTCTGTTTCCTTTCTTTCTGCCTGTCACTCTTTCTGTCTGGGACCTTCAGTCTGCCAGTCACTTGCTTTTTGGGGCCTTTTTTTCTACATTCTTCCATGAAATAAACTGATTTTTGGTATGTGGGTCTATCTACATGTACCTGAGCTACTGTAAGAGCTCGTTCTGTTTTGATTTTTTTTTTTTTTCGGATTGCGGACGTTACTGGTCGTGCCGAATTGATTATGAAATACTCTCAGAATTCAAAATTGTTGATTTTGCAATAAGTATCAACAGAACTTAATAATTTTTGAAATTAAAAGCATCCCAAACAGGATATACATGAATAAGAGTAACTTTTTTTTTTTAATTCTAAGTTGAAATAGCATCGGGAAGCTTATCATTTAAAAAAATTAAAGATAAAATAAATTAATCAAAATAAAATATGATCATTTTATATATGAATAAGAAGTCAATATGTTAAATATTTTAAAACATATATGGCTAAATATCTCCCTGCATATATTTATTTACATTTATTGTGTATATTGTTATGTAAGCCTTCTGAATTATATCTTGGTCAATATGTGTTTGATAAATGTATGACAGTTCTTTTAGGCGTATGATTTACATGTCTGAGGTCATAATGGTTATTTTAAACGTTGTTTTACGAAAAACAGTTCTGTGCGTGTTTTGATTTTTCTTGTACGGTCTATTAAAACATTACCTTTTGTGTTTCATAACAAAACAATTTTGACGTTTGAAATGTCATGCATGATTTATGCATGTACATGCATCGACTCATTTTTAATGATGATAGAGTTGTCCCTCTTTGCCTGCTACAAGCAAGGTTTAGAATCGTGTGACTGTATAACATTCAAGCTAAAATGTTTTGATGCAAAAATATCAAATTAAATATTTTATTAACATTCAAAGAAAAAAAAACAAATAAAGAGAAAAATACGCAACAATACAGTTATCTCAATATGTTACGAAAAACAAGAATTATACCCAAAAAAATCTGTATCTTTGATAAACATTTCTCTACCTATTGACAGATGATACAAACAAAAAATGGATGCCTGGATTGATAAAAAATTATATTATAAATTTTTTGTTCTACATAAATTTCGATTGCAAGTATCAAATTTCTAAAATATGAAAAGATTGTTAACTTTCTATGATCTTCAAAATTTACCTTTCTGCAACCATCCTTACTAATCTATACAACTTTTTGTCACTTAAAATCACATTATTGTGAAACTTTGAATGAAAAATCAAAATCTATGCGGTTAAACTTACTCATTTAGCTTTATGACTTTAGTTATTATTTTCATGGCTTTTGAAAAAAAAAGTTGTTTGTGTCATCTGTCCATAAAGCTGAAATTGCTTTATATGATTTGATAGAGATAAATTCAAAATTACAACATGATAATACACAGTTAAATATATGAACTCTTTATAATAATCCGATGGCACATTTTACAATGAATAGAGTCCATAAATATTATGCTAATAAAATGTTGCTTTACATCTTGACTTCAATGTGAATTCCAGTCCCGTGGCCTGCAATAAAAATACATTACATATAAAATATACATCCACAAGGATATGATAGTATTAGACGTTTAATATGGACTTTCTTTTGGTTTATGTAAGTTTACATTTTTTCCCTCTTTTTTGAAAATTAAAACATTCGTAGTTGAGCAGTTTACATGTGATAAAGGGATTTATAAAAGAGGGAAGAGGTTTTCAAGCTCTTAATATTAGTAGACCATATGATAATTATTCAGAAGGTTAAAAATAAACCACGACACACAGACACAAGTGTATTTGTTTTTTTTATTGACCTCAGACACAGAGTAAATGTATCCCCTTCTTTCTCTTTCCACGAGGTACGTAACCGAATTTAAATCAGCCTCAACTCTACAGAGTACGATAAAACCAGAGACTTCCGAGCTTTTCATTCTGAAGTCTCTGGTTTTACACTGTATGTAACCCTAACCGGAAGTTGATATATATCTTCTTTAAAATCTTAAAGTTTATTCCTCGAAAATTACCTCTCGTCTCGAGGTAATTTTCGAGGAATAAATAAGTGGTTTAAATAAAAATGCTCGACGAAGGACGTCTGGGTTTGAAAAATTTGAATACGATTCCTAGATAATTATGCACTTAGATCTATTCTAAAAAGATATTTCTTTAATATTTATCTTTTTTTCCTTTTTAATTTTATGCCCATGCCTGGTATATCTTGGTAAAAAAAACCCTCATTTTTAATATAATGTAATATTGTAAAAGGGACAACTCTTACACAGATTTCCAGAGGAATGGATCTCGACCATAGGACATTGCATCCCTGAAAAATAAAAGATACGTATTAATCGAAAGAAATTCCCACTCTTTTGTTTAAAATCACAATTAATAAGACCAATATTTGTATCTGATAAATGAAGTTATAAAATTCTGATTTCATTACATAATATTTTCTTTTGTTTGTTATTTACAGAATATATGTTTCAGTATCAACTTTTTACTAAGTTCAGAATGCAAATAAAACTCTATATCTACCTCTAGAAACGTCGAAAGATGTTTAGAATAGGATAATTATAGTAATAAAGTTAGGTAGGATAGAAAAGGAAAGATCATGCAAGCAATAAATTAACATGTTAACGAAAATTCATATAAAACTTTAATCTACTTTCAGTTCCTCGTCCCCAATATACTACTTTCACTTTCATTTTGTGCAGTATGACTTACGTACTTACGTGTTGATTTCCGTCAGATCTGTGTGGTGATGATCCTCCTCCCTTATTTGAAATTGAAAGTAGAAAATAGAAATATATAGATATAAATTAAAAATGCAGAATATATTATATATAAATGAAACAGTCTTCTAGATCTAGAAATTGTTAAAAATAATATTTGGAGCTTTAGATATTTAAATTCCAAACATCCGTGTCATGCATCATTTTTTCCATCTTAGAGAGAAAACAATTCTTAAAAAGCATGTACACTACATGTAACTATATGCATTATGATGGATTGACACTGACTTTTCATACTGGTGTCTTCCATGTGTACGATGCTTTAAAAAGCACAATTCTATAACTGTTAATTTATGTTAGCAAATCTGTAGTTAGTAAAATAAACCTTCCGTACTTAGTACTAAGGAGAATTAACTCACTCTAAGGTACAATTCATGAAAGATGTCTAGACCAAACAGAGAGTATTAAAACTCCTGATCTCTTAATATTTACATAATAAAAGGTCTTTTCTTTTGCAATAGAAAATTTGTACATTACTATCGTAGTTGTATAGGAAATTTCAAAGTCGGGTTATTTACCCAAGCGAAATGGAACCCCTGTGTAATGACCCATCAGTCCTTCCCGAAATAGCAAAAATGGGAGCAATGCTATTCATTTGGTTATTTTTGCTGCCTTTTGAATTTCCGCTTTCAGATATTGGAGAGGGTGTTGTCATCTCACTGCTTCTGCGTCCAGCCTCGCTATGACTTCGTTGTCGTCTGCTGTTTATTTTCTTTGAATCACCGCGAAGACCTGCATTGACAGATTGGAACACCTTGGCCGTGTCGGAGTTTGCGGAGGAATACCGAATATCGTGATTAAAATTCTTCATATGAACGATCTCGCTATGACGTCTCAGTTTCGGTCCATTGCTTACAGGTTTTGTATTAGGTTTTGGATGACTGAAATGTGTACTTGGTTCCCGTTTAGAATTTGTTCTATGCGTTGTCACAGAGTTTTCATTCCTGGTTTCATTCACAGAGATGTCGCTGCTTGCAACTGCAGCGTAGTCGTACTCGATAAGGGATCTTCGTGGTTGAGTGTTGTTGTTCATGAAAACGAGTCCTCTACTCCTGTAGGAGACAAATAAAAGGGAAAAAAGACCTTTTATTTTTCAGTAGTATTTAACTGTAGCTTATATGTGTGCATTTTCGTTGGCACAAAAGCTGAAAAAAAATTGTCGGTGTAAAAGTTCCTCGGTCCGGTATTAAAGAACACTTGATTTGAAAAAAATGTATCCCAAAAAAGTTAAATATTTATATGAAATTAACATATGTTATATTAAGATATTTGACACGTTAGAGATGATATAATTGTACTTCAAATGTCAGTTTGTAAGACTTATATCCTTTAATAGCTATACAAAGCATACTTGCGTAGCAAATATTATAAGAAGTACCTATTTCGTTTGTAACAGACTTGTATTCTTAACTCTTAGTTCGTTCATTTTAGACACCTTATAATCTCACCTTTTTTCCTCTTCATCCGTTTGTGAAAATTTTTCTCTGAGTTCCTGGCTGATCAAAAGTGAAGATATGATATATATACATATATATATATATATATATATATATATATATATATATATATATATATATATATATATATATATATATATATATATATATATATATATAATTTTAATTGTCAATAATACAACATTTCATTTTAAGACTGTGTACACACATGTAGCTATAGGGATTTTATTGATTTTTATCCATTCTTTCTTTATCGTAATCTATTTTTTAATTCTTTCGTCAAATTATTTCCATTTAGATTTTTATGTGGAACAACACAGTGACTGTTTTCTCCCTTTAAAAATATATTTAAAATTCTAGTTAACTTTATAATTAGATACTTTTTTCTCACTGTAAGAAAAAATTTAAAGCAGCAAAAATAAACAAATAACTAAATAAATGAATAAAACATACTGTCTTCGAAGTTCTATCATCTTCCTTCGGATGAGACAGCTGATGAAGATCATGATGATAGTGACAACCAGCGTCACAGCAACCAACACACCAATCAGAATTTTAGCGCTGTCAGGGAGGTTAGAGGTCACCGGGTCATCTGCAGTTGGGGTACCATACAGGGATGGTTCTGAAATTTTATTGGATTATGTTGGTGTGGACTTTGTTTCTGTTGCATCTGCATAATTCGGGGGGGGGGGGTGCATTGATTTTGTACATCATTTTTTTAACGAATTTATATCCCCACAAATAACGTATCGGTTCATTGAATCCTCTCTATACCCAAGTTAACCATGTACGGAATTAAGTTCCCACAAATAAGTAAAAACCAACCCCAAGAATTGAAATGAATCCAGAGCATGATACGGAAAGCCTAATCTTAACTGAGATTAAATCTTAAAAATCGTTCCTGAAAAAAAAAAAAAAAAACATTATTCATTTTCATTTTTACTCGTTGACAAACTATCCTCTCCAGGTTTAAATACTGGGCGGTCCAAACAGTCAGTTTTAAAATGAGTAATGGAGACAAAAATCTCTAGTCTGTGCTAGAAGAAATCAAAAAAACAGAAATCTCGAAATAAATTAATGCCTGATTCGAAAACCTGTCAAGAAATATAAGTGATTTTTCAAAGGACCCTAAGATGCGTAACCTAGGAATAATCTAGGTATTGTACAGTCGCTTAATGGAGACTCTGAAAACTTGACAAATAGGAAGAAAAGACTACGGAGAATATGGTGAAAGGCCTAATGCACATTGGAATAATGCCTTTTGACTGCTTTTAAATTGATGTCACTTTCAAAAGAAGTTATTTGTGACAAAAAACTAATGAATCCTCTCTGTATTGCATGCCCTACTTACTGGCGCAATATGGACGCGAATCAAAGTTCCAATTACCATCTTCTTGACACCTAATGACGCTCTGACCTTGGACACGTAGGTCATCCACACATGATAACGTCACTTCCGTTCCTGGGATTCTGCTGTAGGTAGACAAACGAAGTTCATATTGATTCAGCGAAGTAATCACGATCGGGTCTGACGCAAAAGGATTCAAACGTGGGCAAACAACTGCAATACGAATCAAATACGTACCAATTAACAAAATAATTATTATCTACATGGCTATGTTAATAGCGTGTTATTTTAATCAGGATTATTGAAATGTCATAAAAAAACATGAATTTGGTTTTCTTCTTTTTTTTAATTTAAATGCCAATTATGAATGTTTAAATTTTTTTTTAAAATATCACATTATAAATTCAGACTTTTTTAATAAATACAATGATGACTACATTTATGTATATGTCTCAAACACGTTCTTGTAGTTTTATAACCATTTCTATTCTTCTTTTTCAATCATTTTTAAATACCTCACGTAAATTATGTCAACGTCTTTTCAAACAGTAAGATATTCCATGTAAAGAAATTTATGAAATATACAAGTCACGTCTGAAATCCAGGTCAAGGTGAAATTAGGTTTAAGTTTTCTATTCATGAAATTTATGAATATGATATACAGAAGATAGTACAGGTATTTGATAGACGTTTTATATTACAAATGCACTATTGTACAAGTTTTAATGACGAGAATAGAAAGAAACAGTTATCTATGTCTTTATCAGTTTATCTTAGATACAGATCGAGAGATAGAATTTCATATACATGAAAAAGAATGATATATAAAATTTAATCATTTTTTGTGTAATTGCTTGAAAACGTTTATAATTTATAGGAATTATAATTTTCAATCAGCTTCGTGGTAAAAAAGGTAAAGTGCACAAAATATATTTTTATTTTTTCTATTTCGTTTGACAGAATATTTTGATTTCAATAATGATTTTTTTTAAATATAATGATCATAAAACTTTTATAACTTTTCCTATCTTTCTTATTTTAAACATATGAACAGATGTCTTTTATACTGAAATATACAAATTAAGGCATTATAGATACGCATTGTGAACTGAAAGCAAACTTACGACTCTGGTGTAAATGGTTTAATAAATTATATGTCCGAAATATCCATTTGTACTTGACGAGCGTTAATCTATTTAAATAAATCTAATTTGAGATACATGTATATATTACCACAAAAAAGTTTATTTCTGGTGGCTTAAGGTAGAACCTATGTCGGAAAAGTCTTTGTCACAGGATTTTCAAACTTTTCAAAATAAGTAATTAGCACTTGCTTATTAATCAGTTAAAAATACATGGCATGTTTCCTTGTTATTAAATGTAGTGCAGCCGGCGCAATTTAGAATGATTAGTATACACTGCAACCATAGTTTTCAGCCATTTTTACGGGTACATGGCCATAAGGAGAATATAAAAAATCACAAAAATACTTCTTCAAACACCTTTATTTATAGACTTTATTAATTGAAGAATAGTTAGAAATATTATTAAAAATTAAATTCGCTTTTCTTCAATTGACATAAAAGATTAAATACACATTTCAATAAATATACGCAAATGCGCTCAATATTTTTAAAAGGACTTTTTAGTCCATCTACAACCCTAAATTTGTAAATATTTACTAAAAGTCTTTGTGACAGTGTTTTCAATCCTTAATATGATGAAGAACATATCCAAATGATTACGAAAAATGATTAAAATAAAGACCTTTCCCCGCAAACTAATGAGAGAGATTTTTTTTTTATCAATACATGTACTAGTCATGTTGACTTTTTTGCACTAACACAGGATTTTATGATTAAATGAATGTTTTGGTGTTACTTTCAGACTTACAATATGACTATTTATCAAAAAATGAAATTTTAGAAATAATTATGAAAATGAATACATTTTATTCATAATAGACATTACAAACAATAAACACAATCTTTAATAGATTTAAGACTCGTACGATATATCATCAAGATATTGTACTATTTAGTAGTAGACTGAAAAATTCTCAGCAACTTTGCATTCCTTCAAAGTAGTTGTATGTCATTCATTTATTACAGTTGTGTATTTTCATTAGCCGCGATAGTCTTGCATTCGTTCACTTAACTATGACGTCATACGACGTAGGTTCTACGTGAAAGGACCAAATTAAGTTGGAATTATTTCCTAATCAACAAAAATCCTACACCTTTACTTCCTTATCAAATAATTATTACGCTTAACCACCACCACCCCCCCCCCCCCCCCCAAAAAAAAGATGTTTTGGTGAAATACTGATGTCCCGGGCCTCGTTTGGCAGCTCAAGCCGAAGGTTAAAGTTTCTAAAATACAAAACAAACTCCGATGTCCAGAGATAAACTGTTTTGATACCCAAAGAAAAGTATTTTCAAAAGGAAAGTACCGGTGAAAAATGAAAGCCCTACATTGTACCACCAACCGTTCAAATCTTATGTCTGTCCAAGGTGAATGTTTTTCAAAAGTGCGTCAAACTCCAAGGTCAAGTCAAAGGGTAAAAATGTTGGTACCCTAGGGAAGGTCTTTTCACAGCAAATATACATGCTTAATATGAAAGCCCTAGCTCGAGGCAACCTTCAAAGAGCAAGAGCCACGAACCATAAAAAATGGCCCTGTCTCAAAAAGTAACGGGGTTTTGTCAATTGATAGCGTAGACTTTTAGCTTTTCTTTGCCGTTTTTCTTTTTTCGATATCGATTATATTTTCTGAAAAAGAGAGTCTGAATTATGACGATGTTTTAAAAGAAAAATGCTAGTAGAACGTCATTTTTTGAAACGTAACGTCGTAGGCGGAAAAAATACCTTAAGCGATTTTACATATGTGACTTTGAATTAAAACTAGTATTAATTGGGATGGGCATTTATCTTACTAATAAACTTCATAATTAATTTAAGACAATTAAGAGCAGTTGGAAATTGCTTTCACATCGCAGTCTTGATGGCAACTCCGTGTTTAACTGATTGAATTTTGTAGATACACTGTACATGTACAGTAAAAATAATCTGTGTGACTGTCTCGGAAAGTTTTCACTCTACCTGGTCCCTATGCTATTATATTTTTTAAGAAGGAAGATTGTATTTCTATCCTTTGAACACATTTTTTTGTGCGATGCATCGCTCCTAGTTACATGTAAGTATTGAACATCATTAAAAAACATACGACTTGCTTCAAATGACGATAGCCTGTCCAACTTAGTTTTCCAGACTTTTTCCTACACGCCTGCAAATTATATTAAGCTGATCTTTGGAATGCGCGTCCAGGCACGAAGTTTGTTTTTCAAAGTGGGGAAGGAAAAAAAAATAACAAGATGCCTGAAATGATCTTAAAACGAATGTTTCTAAACTGAAGAGCTACAATGTAATTCAATAACTGGATAGAAGTAATTGCAAAACATTTTGTTTAAATGGAAATAGACTTTTAATGCGAAATTCTTAGATCCTGAACTTACGAGTATTTTAACATATAAAAGATCTAAATAATTTGGAAAAACGGAGGAAGTAAAAAGTTGGAAGGACTTGCTTCTAATCCATCTATTCATTTGTAACAATAATTTGAACGTCGTTTTCGAAACAGAAACAACGAAAACTATAGATTAATTGAAAAGGCATGTCGCAACTTATCATAATTGTTTATTTAGTAAACAGAACTCATCAAAACATTGTCGCCCTAAATGTGAGTTTCTTTGGAGTAATAAGGAATACATTTCAAAAAAATATTTTTAAGAAAGATAAATCTGTTAAAAAAATCACTGATTTAAGGCTAAAGCAGAAAATAAACCAGCCCTGTTCATTATTATATATTTATTGGTATTTGCTAGACCCCCCCCCCCTTTTCTCTTGCAAAATATTCGAGTATTGCTCTCCCAAATATCTTTACTGCAAGGAATTTGTGAAGATAGAAGTCTGCGACATATTGAAAAATATATTATGCTTTTGAAGTAAGATGGAAATTCACCCTTTTGTGTACATGTATGAGAATCATCTCAGAGGATTTTTTAAATACAGTTATTATATCGATGGCTTATATATGCTGGTACAAAATAATGTATAGTTATAGTATACGTGTATGTGTGTACCGATATCAGGTTTCGTCAAAACAATTGCACTTGATGAACCCGCGCCCGTGTCCTAGATTCTGCTTAGCCGAAATGTAGATGATTATCCAAATGCATTTTTTAAATTTTTTGAATTTTTTTTTTGGGTTTAATTTTCACTTTGCACAGCAAGCTATGTTTTTATTATTTCGTTTGTTTTACAATACAAAGGTCTAGCGTGATATCTTTGCTACATTCTCTATTAAATTGTTTACAATTTGAGTCATGTCGATCTGTTAACACGCACAATAGTATTAAAATTGTCTCAAGAATATAAAAAATAAATAAATAAAAATAAATATATAAATTTAAAAAAATGCTTAAACATAAAATTAAAAGTATAACAACAGCTTTAAAAAAGCAGGCGGGGGGGGGGGGGGTTGTGTGAAGGGCAAGGGCAGTAAAGAATCAAAACAATTTGGCGTGAATTTCTGATAATTAATAATTTGATGGTATCATCCATTTGGGCTTAAATCATACAAATAATGACAGCACTCGAGAGCTTAAAACTTTTCAGCAACATTCCAAATAGTTTAGAGCCTTTATGACGTCACAACTGACGTATTATTAGTAACGTCATATATAATGGACCTATTCACAATAAAACCCATGTTTTGACAGATATTTATTTCAGAAAATGTTTATTCTTAAGGTGTTTTTCCACAATAAGCGTTTTAAACGAACAATAAATTGCTTTTCTCGCATATTTTGTGAAATGTATAATTTTTTATTGTTGTATGAATTAAATGTTAACGATTGATTCACAAATTAGTGATTATTTGATGCATCAAAATTTAAATATAAAATCAAATTTCATATTGGCCACACCCACGAACAACAACGATAATAAGCATAAAGATTTGTATCGGCAATATCTATATCTATGGTAAGTATAAAAGTTGTTCTTGACTGTGGCCACATCTAACTTTGGGAAAATCTGTAGAAAAATCGGCATTTTTTAACGTTTTATCACACCGTCGCATATTCCAACCGTCGCACGTGCCTAATGACGCATTATATAACAAAATAAGTTACGTATGGAAAACAAGTATGTTGTCCTCTAACATTTAATGTATAGTACTCTTGTTGAATCGAAACTTTATTTTTGTGAAAAACACAGGGCCAAATTTGATGGTTCGTGGCCTTAGCTCTTTTTGGTCAAGGTTAGTTTTTTTTTAAAGTGTGTCAAACACCAAGATCAAAGTTAAAAGGTCAAAAATATTTAGGTCTTATCACAAGGAATATACAGTTAAAGTATAAAAGGCAAAGCAACAGTCGTTCAAAACTTATAGCTAAGGTTAGTGTTTGGTAAAATTTTGCAAAAGTAGGTTATATTCCAAGGCCAAGATCAAGAGGTCAAAAATGTGGTACCCAAAAAAAGTCTTTCACAAGGAAACCACAGGTGAAATATGAAAGCCATAGCTCCAACCAATCAAAAATTATGGGCAAGATTGAAGTTTTTGCGGACAAACAGACAGACTGACACAGACAGAGCAGAAACTATATCCCCCAAGTCTTCGAGTGTGGGGGCATAAAAAACAAGAGAGAATATAGGCACATTGTCCAAATACAAAGTTGCTGCGATGTTGAGAGGAACTCATCAACAGTATATATACAGAGTTTTATATGAGAAATATTTTAATATTTTGCAATTCTATTTACATGTAGTTGTTATTTTTAAGACAACGGAACATTAACTGGCAAAATTGGAAATATGCAGCTTACGTCATTTCCATCTGTTACAGTCAAAACAGTTAATGATAGACAAACAAATGGGTGGGTACAATTCGACACGGACGTCCGTGAAAACATTGGATTGAAAGTATAATTTGAAATTCATTTTCAATCCGCCTGAGCTGTTTTCAAACGCAAAGTGTGAATGTATGATCCAAAAGACAAATAATTTCAATTCCCAAAGTACATGTTGTTTGAAATTCATATTAATCATTGTTTATATGATTTTTTTAGCCTATAATTTTAAGGACACGTAAAAGTCATAGAAGACAGAGATTATTTTTTCGGAGGATTTTAGAAGGGGGGGGGGGGTTGGGGTTGTCAAAAATTGTCGAGTCAGATCATGCCTTCCTGACAAATATTTATTGCTAGGATGACAAATAATTTCTTTAGTTTTGTTTTCACTGAAAAATGTTTGACAATCAAAAACAGGGAGGAGTTGTCCAAACTAAAAAAAAACTTTCTTTTTTATTTCCAAGATCGTTCAGCCCCCCCCCCCCCTTCCACAACACCACCACCACCAAAACACGCATGCACATACCTAACAGAAATTAAATATTTCCTTTTATATTTCTTAAAAAACACTGGACAGAAATTCTGATTTATATAATTAAACTTCAAACTATTCCGAAATTGAAATTATTTGTCTTCTGGGTCAGTCAGTAACACCGTGCCTCCTAGCGTAGCTGAGTTGGATTGAAACTGAATTTCAAACTAGAATTTCACTCCAATGTTTTCTGGGACGTCCGTGCTGAATGTACCCACCCATTCCACTGTCTGTCATGAAATGTTACAGATGGAAATGACGTAAGCTGCATATTTCCAATTTTGCCAGATAATGTTCCGCGGTCTTTTTCATTAGAGATAAGTTATAAAAGTTAAGACTGGATTAACAGTGGAATGTGAGTTATGCCTTCTTGGAAATTATATAAATCCCACGGTTTGTGGTTGGATATGATATTTACCCAATGGCATCAAGTTGCATGTTTATATTCGCGAGCTTTGGCGGAACAACGCACAAAGAATTTGGATAAAATTTGCTACTTAATGTTTAAAACAAAATGTTGCTTTCATAAGGGTTTGAAGACGTTTAGAATTGTAAAAATGTTACAAACAAAAAACTTTTTAAAACAATTTTTAAGCAAAGACTAACGTATTTTCAACGAAAATTTGATGCCTTTTTTTCATCATCGTCGTAGTTTTTCTTGTGTAGATATTTATTTAACAAAAAAAATTGTGTTAGCGATCTAACTTTAATGAAACCAATTCCAGCCAAGGATATTCAATTGATCGCAAAATTAAGACTAACATCAAGTTTATTAATGATTGAGAAGAATAGATAATATAATTTTCTTTCACTTGGAGGTTAAAGATGAATACTACATTTTATGTTGCTCACTTTATCAAGAGCACATGTACAGTAAACCGCATAAGAAAAAGTACTATTGGTATGTATAAGTACGTATCATTTAATTTTTAAAGCAGCATTAGCTGAGAATGTCAATGAATTTAGTAATTAAAAATTTCAGTTTTCTTTAAATTATATGTATGCATTTTTTTCTTCCTCCTTGAGTATGATTGTAAAGGTAATAGGATTAATTTTATCCAGTTTCTTTTTTTCTGAAGGTCAAAATGTGGTTTAGAATGTAACAAATTCCGTGTATGCATGTACTAGCTCAGCATAATTATATAATATCTATAAAAATATATACTGTACATGTGTATGAATCCTCTTTAAATGGATGCATTTAAGCTTTCAAGAAACAAGTAACAATTCATTTTATGCTTCAATTAAGGAGACATTGGATAAAGACCTCACAAAACATTATTTAAAAAATTAAAAACATTCCAAGTTAATTTTAGGAATAAACATTTCACAGATTATCAGCGAATGCTTAAATATAGGTAAATAATTAATAGAAATAATTAATTTCATTTAGTCTTTGAAAAGTTCCTGAAGATATAAACTTTGCTTCTCACACAGGCATATTTTCCTCTAAGAAACGTCTAATTTCATATCCTATTGAAATGTTCATAAAACTAATATTGGAAATTTTCAGTGAGGATATTTTGTTATCCTATTTTGAGTTTAAAATATTAGATATTTGTATAAATCGTTATTACCAGTTTTCAGCATTCTAACAAAGCCTTTGGATCAACTTTCATTTTAATTTGCAAACACGCAGCGCAAGCATTTTAGCCGGTAGAAATCCATTTCAAATTCGATTAAAGAATTCAAGTCTTCAATGTTAGGTAACAATATACCTTTTCCAGATCCTTACAAATATATTCAATAAAATGTTTTTATCACTATCATTCTTATCAAATCTTTATTGTATTAATTTTGACCCATAGCAGGTTCTGGAATTTTACTTTCTAGTCTAAGGGAGTAAATAATTTAAAAAGAAAATCGTCTTCTGAAGGCTTTATCTATCAAACAAAGACCACATCATGTACTTTATACAACGTGGATAAAATAAGTTATTGCATTCATTGCTGAAAACAAACTTACCCGACATGATGCTTTTCTTCTTAAAAACCACAAATTCCCGATTATCCCTGCTTAGATGCTCGGGTAGGTAAATATTTCGCACCTCAGTTGTATAAAAATATGTAGATGATACTGATCTGTGAATCTCGAATTTGAATTTTTCAGATCGACTGATAAAGATTGGCGCTAGGAGCTTTGAAGTGAACGAGGCCTTTCAGCATTAATATCCGTGACGAATTTTATAATTATTCAATAAAAAACACACCTCAAAGTGTGTTAAACAGACTGATTTTGATATATTGAAATGAGAAAATTTATTTTTTCTTCTTCAATTTTTGCTGTAAGTGTTCGGACGTAAATTACCTCTTTTTATGAAAACGATAAATTATTCCTATGGTATGCTTCAGTGAAAAGAAGATAAAAAGTGCAGAACGACACAAGACGGGGCAAAGACCCTTTAATGATTATTAAAAAAAAACTTGTTATTTCATTACTGGCATATAAAAATACGGAAACCTCATCAATTGAAATGCGTTCAAAAATCAGTTCAATGAAAATTTACAACAAATTCTAATAATGCGACATTTTGCATGAGTTAGCGAGCAGAGAGTTCTTTATAACAGATCATGAATAAAACATGCAAACAACCAAAATAAATAAATAAAAAAATTAAACGTCAACATGTACTTTTCCTATCTAAATCATGATCAACGAATTCGTTTTCCAATTCATTTTAACTTGATTCCTCAAAGTTGTTTTTTTCTTACTGACAAATGATCTAATGTGTTTCTTTTGGAGGGAGTGGGGCAAAAATTCATTATTCGTAGATTAAAAAAACATATAGAAAAAATTAACCCATCGGTTACAGCATAAATCATATAATTTTAATTAAATGCTAGTATGTTAACAGATGGTTTATTTCATAAAAAATCGAACGAATTCTTTTTTTTTGGTCTACGGAGGAAACAAAATCATATAATATTCAAGATACTTTCTATACCAAAACTCTCTTAACATTTGTACAATCTCCTTATTAATTCCATATTTTGCTTGGAACAGGCCTGCAACAACGGCTTGAAAAGAGTGGAATCTTCCAAAAGATCTGACAAGCAAATAAAAAAAAAATCGAAAATCCTATTCCGTGGAATGGAGTGTGGACCTTTTTTCTTACTTTCTGGTACATTTTATTTTTCAAATCTTGGAATTTGCCAGTGTTCGACCTTACAGCAACAAAAAGGGGTGGTGGTGGGGGGGGGGGGGGCAACCAACATTAAAATGAAGATTTACTACTACATTCAGAAAAAAGCCCCCCCCCCCCGTGTTCTACGGGCCTATTGAAAGATGGCATATCTATTGTACATTCACAATAGATAACTCGTACACGATTTTTATGCTTTCAATTGATGTGTACGTATGTATATTTTCGTGTACATCACGATTATGTGTCATGATATCCTTAAAGATCGATGATAGTTTTCTCAGCTTAAAGAAGAACGATTTGTTGCTTAAATAATGGACTTTATAAGGAAAATAATGTCGCATCAACACATTTAAATAAAAAGCAAATTAAAGAAAAGAAAATTAAGTATACCATGTGGTGCAAAATTTCAGACACATCATTTATGAATTTGAAACTTTCATAAAGGAAACATTAGAGTTTATGATATTAAGAGTTAAACCTATTAAAAGAGGGACCCCCCTCAGTTCACAGCACTGAAAATATCCTTCGTCAAAAACAAAAGAGCCAACACATTGGTGAAGCAGGCAGTTTTATTTGGAAAGTAAACTCGGTTATTTCAAATTATTTTCTGTGTTTCAAATTCAAACATGAAAATTTTAAAGTATTTTTATAGTAGTAGTGAAATCTTCAAAATCAAACTAATTTCCTGAGAGAACTTTTTTAATGTGAAAGAAATTGAACACAGCCTTACAAATATTTAAACCATTTCTTTGTAGAGTTTTGCTTAGGGTCTCAATGAACATATGAAAGTTATCATATAAAATACATAATCAAGATTAGTAATTAAAATGAAAATTAATTGATAAAAATGAACATACACTGAAATACATTAGATACATTGAACGTTGGAATTCATTGAAAATTACAAGAAACATTATTTTGTTAAATATTTGTGTCAAAATCAATATTCATAAATATATCAGTATCTCAAGCACATGTGAAAATATCATAATAAAATACAAAACTTTAAATATATATATATCAGTTATTCTGATTTTTTTCTCCTCTGAAAATTTACATTTTAAAAAACAAAACCAAAAAAAAAAATTACACTGTACATGTAATTTCTGTCATGAACAATATAATTTAAAATGTCATATTACTTTCAAATAATTTAAAAAAAAAACTGTTTACCCTGTATGACTGAAAACTATTTGATCAACATCTTTTCTAACTTCAGTTATTTACAAATGCTGGGCATATTCTACTTATTACATTAACGCACAAAAATAAAACGTAAATATATACATGTAGACATTTGTTTAAAGAACAAGAAATTGTTAAACGCAGATTGCATTGTAAAGCACTTTGTAAGCACGGTCTATACGAACTAAAAGATAAAGTTTTCGATCCATTCCCCGGAAGTGGAACTCTTCAGAAAGATGTCTGTTTGGAGTCGTTCAGCAGCCGACGGTAGGTGGTGTAAATCTTCTCGAAATTATCATTTTCCAATCCTCCCAACTCTCTAAGAAAGGTGGAAATAGATAATATAAATTTAAATTGATGTCTGAGCAATGCGGCTATAATTGTCTCTAATACGTCTTGAAATTTTCATTTTAAAGAGAATGATAAACATTCGGATATTTAATTTTTATATCATCAATATGTCTGTTATTATGTTTACCAAAAAAAAAAAACATCAAGCCTTTCGGATAAACATGCAATATCTGTATACATTGATATTCTAAAACTTTATATTTAGAGATAAGATTTCGAGTTTTATCGGGTAGATGTTTAAATATCTCTTTTATTTTACATAACATTAATATTATTCCAATTTGAATACATTGTTGATCAGGGAAAAAAAGGTAATACATGTACTTACTGTCGGAATTCTCTTTCCATAATGTACTCTTGTTCCGGAAGCTGTGATGCGGCCGTGGTAATATTGATTTGCCTAGTGCGCTCAATTTCGATACCTCCGCCCATGGACCCCATACCTTCTGCATATCCGTCTCCCCGGTAGGCGGCGTTGCTGTAGCCTACAGAACCGGTTCCGGACTGATATCCGGCATCTGCATTCATCATATTTTCGTGTCGTAGCAGGTTCTCGTGCCGGAGGGCCTCAAGCTCGTAGTTTCGGACATCCTGGCCCTCCCATCCGCTCTCGAGTTCACGTAACTTGGAATCAATTTGGTCGTTAGGAACGCTGTGTACAATAAAAGTTTTAAGTACATGTAAACCATATAAAGCAAAAGTTAACATAAACATTTACATTGTTTTAAAAATAATCCTTTATAATAATATGTATCTAACTGATTTGATGAGCTTGTATTTTTTATAACTTCTTTATGTTTATATTTTCATTCACAAATGTCCAGTAAGGTTATAAAGTTTGTTACCCTCTGAGAGATTCCAGCCAGGCCCGTGGGAGTTTCATATCCCTGCAATAACGATTTCAGTTCGGTCAATATATATCATGTTTAGCTTCTTATTTGTGCAAATATATTTTTCAAAAAAAAAAAAAAAAGAAAGAAAAAGAAAAAAAAAGAAAGAAAAGAAAAAAGAAAAAAAAGAGGAAAAAACCTTCATCATTTTAATTTTAATTTCGTAAAATAAGAAAACCTTGTGAATATTGTTTGTATGTTCAAAGCGTTAAAAAAGGCAATACTAAACATGCCAGAGACTTTTATCTTTGAGAAGGGTTCAAGAGATAAAAAAAAATGTAATTTTAAATCGATATTTTAACAATGTTTGAATTTCAGTGAATATTTTTTTGAACAAAAAATGAGTGTAAAGAACAATTCAATGACGAAACAAAAATCAGGTAGAAGTACATGTATCATGATGACTCATACATGTACTAGTCTCTATTTAGCCTCAGAGCGGTAGTATTTATCAAGCCTACACACTGCTCCAAACCTGTTCTATTTATATATTTAGATGTTGGAACATAGTCAAGGTGTTTTATAATTATGTATGACGTAGGTATTGTAGCATAAATTCTCAGACTTCAATTTTCAAACTCACTTCCGGTCTGGTATTCATCTTAGCCATGTTTGTGTTTGAATGAGATATTCTTCTTTCTATTCCTGGCTAATACTCACACTTCGTACAGATTGTCATAGTCGTATTTATCCAGTTTGTCCCATTCCTTATTAAAAGTCCGGAAACTGTGAACAGAATCCACATCCGTACTCCTGTGACTATAAAATAAAGAGAGATGAATCAGTTTTTCACCAGTTCTAGCCATAATACATGAAAAAATGTTATGCCATGTTATAAAACAGGGCTTTGAAAACACATTATTGGGAAAGTAGATTCTACAATATGATAAGAGAATACTATTATGAATATCGAAAGGGTCAAATGAATGATCTAAATTGATTTCTGTAAATAATTATCTCAAATGAAATTGTAATTGATCCTCCCAATCCCTATCAATGTCTTTTTTTTGTTTGTTTGTTGTTTAACATTCCTTAGAGAATTTTTCACTCATATTGAGACGCCACCACTTGCCGGTGGAGGGCAGCATATTTAGACCTGTAATCTGCACTTACGGCCTTTAAGCAGTGAGGGATCTTTTTCGGGACTCCGATTTATACACTCTCACCCGAAAGACCGGTCTCCACGTCCCACAGTGGATTCGTCGATCCTTCGACGTAAGAATCAACTCCTTACTCCGCGACTCCAGAGCAAACAATCTAACCACTACATGTACGCCAATCGGGCGACTCTATCATTGTCTTTAAATAGTATCTGGCTTATCACTTTTATCATAACTGTTGTATCATAAATTATACATATCCACTAAACATAGATCTGAAGTTATTGAATTCTCTCAGTTACTATTCGACCACAAGACAACGATAACGTACTGAATAAAAATAAGTACATGGACTGAGCTACCTAAATTATATTTATGCATCTGAAAACTAAACTAGTTCTTATCTCGAGATTTTTCGTTGTCATCTCATAAAAGCTTGTCTTCAACTGGACGACAATTCATGATCTTGGATATCTGTATCTCATTCTCATACCAAGATAGAAGTCGGATGTTGATTTTTTTACCTGATGGTCTCCATTTCTTTGACCTTCGCTGCCCCGATAGCACCGGCGGTCCTCTTACTCTTACTTCCGGCTGCTCCACCGCCACAACATGGGCAACAGGGAAGTGGACAAAGGCAGCAAAGAATGGGCAAGGCAAGAAACAGGAAGGTGGCTAGTCCGGTCAAAATTCCCGCCAAAATTGCTGTGTCGTCATGACTTAATCCACCAATCGCAGGAGCGGTTGCTTGGACAACAGGGACTGTGTCGATTTTGTCAACAGTAGCTGGAACATATAGTAAATTTTAATGAAACGTATTTGAATTTTACGAATGTTTTCTTAAAATGTTGATGATGCTTACCAAATCCCCAATTGCAAACACATTTGAATTTTATTAATGTTGTCTTAAAAGATCGATAATGCTTACCAAAGCCCCCACTGCAAACACATGACGGATCAGCCATAAGGTCTGCATAGTTGTCAAAAAGGTCCGCTGAAAACAAGAAAGTAAAAATCATAAAATGAAAATAAGCAGAAATTATGAATGCTGATAAATCAATGTGACTGTCCATAGAATTTGTATTCGTATAATTTTGATACATTGTACGTTTTCTTTTAACAATTTTTGTAGGGATGCGCGATTTTATCGGTATGCAATGGTATATCATGATTTTTTTTATTGCGCGATACGTATCGTGATACGGAGACTAAAATACGGTATTTAGTATGTAATTAGAATTCTGGAAATAAATGATTTTTAATTTTTATGTTCAAACTTTTGAATTTTAATTACCAGAATTAGTAAAAAAAAATGTTGAAAAACAGTAAAACAAGGGAAGGGCATCCTAGCATCCAAACATGCTTTATTAATGTATAAATAAAGATGAAAAAAGTCAAGTTATGAACACATAATATACATTTTATAGAAAAATTATGAAAATTCATTTGAAGTCTTAGTAGAAATTGCTTGTAAAATATCATGATATTATCGTGATATTTTGGCGGGGGAGGGAGGGGGGGGGGGGAATGGTGATATATTGTGACAGAAAATGTTTGGCGATATTCATTCCTCAAAAAGGATTATCAAATAACCATGTATTATTTGAATCAATTCATTTCTAATGAGGAATTAGAATTAGGAATTTTTTAGAAGACAACAGAGGCATATGTGAAATTCATTTTTTCATTTATTTATGATTTTGTTGGCACTGCCTAAATATGGGGTTGCCAAAACAGAAGGCTACTCCCCCCCCCCTCCCAATTATACATGTACACATGTGTATAACAGTACGATTATGTCAAAATATTGCCAGTTATGGAACTAGGCCTACCAAGTCAAAAATTAAAAACCAAGTTCTCCTTTACAGTATACGGTGTACATTAAATATATTTTTTATCAGAAAGAAAAGGGTTATATTTAGGGCCATCATTAAAAATATCTTTGTTTCCCCAAAACCCGACCCTTAAATCTCAAGTTGGGTAGGTAGGTCGGTAAATAATCTTTTTTTTTCTGACAGCAGCTTTGAAAATACATTTTGAAATTTAATGGAATAATACCTTTATAAATAAGAAAAGTAAAAAAGAAAGCAATTTATAAACAGAATTTCATACAAACGACGTTTAAAAGCATAATATAAGGTAAATTAATTTACAACTATTGTTCAATTGAACTTGTAAAATATCTGACGCCAGTGTAAATTTATTGAAATCGAATATTTTAAAGACAAGATTCTTGGATACGCAAGGACTGGAAATCTGAGTATATTTTTCTACTATCAGGTTCCAGTGCTTACACATGCAATGTACATTATCAAGGGCTTCGAATTGTGCAGTGGTCTAGAGCATTTCCTTTTGGAGTCCCGAAGTAGAGGCTAATTTAAATTCCAAGTCGTAGGTTCAAATCCGAATGCGGGACGTTGAGACCGGTCTTTCGAATGAGGCCGTAAAAACTTAGGTCCAGTGTCGCAGTAGATGTTGGCACGAAAAAGGTCCCTCACCATTAATGGCTAAAAGTGTCGAGTACAAGACTAAATTTGGAGTCCTTCGCCGGGCTAATGTTCAACAATTCTCAAAGGAATTTAAAGCAAAGAAACAACCAATCTTCAGGGCCCTAATTAAAGAAAAAATGCACTGACGTCTCAAGAAGCTGTATTATGATTTTAAAACTATTTGGAAAGAGTAAGTAAATAATATTTAATGGAACAGAACCATATCTAAAAATGAAAAAAATGTCACACACAATGTCAAAGTCACGAAGTTTAACCCATGAATTAAATGTATGAAAGAAAGGAACGTCTGAATTCTATTCATCAGTATTAAATATGAAGACATATAAACAACAACTCCTATTGTCCCATATAGTACACATAGGAAAATAGATGAAATTTTTATTAGATCAAAACTCAAATTAAAAATAATGCAGTGAAATTGATTGATGTGTTCACGAGGAAGGCAGGCCTTACCATGTATCGTGGATACTACGTCCCTAAATTTTAAAAGAGATTAATTAGTAAATACCACAGAAACAATCGTAATAAGTCGTAATATATTTTATTCGCGAAATATTTGAAGAGTGTAGGATTCTAATAACTAAAAGTATAAGGTTGATACGTCGCCGTTATTTATAACTCGACCTAACCCTCTTTGATCACGTGTTGTGGGCGCCATTTGTTTCCAACAAACGCTTGAAAATCAAAGTTAACAAAATCCGCCGTTCTAATAAAAACGGATTTTGATGAAATTGTATTTTCATTGATAAACATAAAAAAAAATACTGGAATTATCTTATTAAAAAAACTTTTCAGTCGGCGCGATTTAATTGGGTCGGTCGCGTTAGGGGAAACAAAGGTATATTTTATTTTGGCCTAGTCCTATCTGATATATTACCCCAACCCATCAATTCAAATACACATTCTTCTTACTATTTTTATTAGCACCGTATTTCAATAGTACTTGGTGTATTTCCACCGATATTTGCAAGATACATAATGTACATTTTTAAAATAAGTCGAAGAGATAAATAGAAGACAGACTCGATGTACATGTTTGCCCGTCTCCTATGACGCATTAAACTCTGAAGAGGGTCAAACAACCTATTAAATATAAATATCTATATAAACCATCTAAAAAATATAATTCATTATTGTCAAAAATTTATATTCTGTGAGCGATGTATTCTTTAAAAGAGAATTTCTTTGCCACATTTTGCTATACAATTATTTGTCACTTTTGAATATACCAATAAAAGCTGGGAATGAAAAAGTTAACTGTACTCTTTAGATATGTACTTTGAATAATGTGGATAATTCAGCCAAACATGCACTTTTAAGAGTGTATTTTGGACCTAACTCTGTTATACTGTATATCTATATATGAAATTATATGTACATGTGATATATTAATTAGCCGCTAATTAATTGATCAGACGTTTTAACAATAAACGGAAACTTGTAACACAGAGCTATGTATTGCAAGTAACAGTGCACATTCCTTTTTATAAAACAATGGCCCGAGGTTGAGAACAAAAGATCGTCAAAACAGATGTGTATCGCCGTATAATGGTCAGGCCCGGGGGGTGAAAGGCAGGCCAGCGATACAGACGGGATTGGGGACAGGTAGGGGCACTGTCACACGGATTTAATTAATTCAATTTACCTGGAAGGACATGTGATCGTTAACGAACATCTTCGTTTATGCATGATATTTAGCAGTAATACACTGTATGCTTTTCTCTCAGCAGTTTTGCCATTTTCCTTTTGTAATATTTATTATCACAAATGGTTTTTTGCTTCCCTTGAAAGAAATATATACATAATAATGTTGAAATTGGTGTTTGTGATAAAACACTAATCGAAACCCATGTTTTGTTTTGTTTTTTTGTTGTTTTTTTTTTTCGTCTTGCTTTGATTAATGAGCAAGCTTTAAGTATGCATAGGCTTTATGCAATAAAAATAAATTCCTTTAATATCAAAATATTATTGCTATACATTTAACAGTTCAACTTCCGGATTGATGAATAATATAAAATTTATATTGTTTCTAAAAATCGTTAAAAAGATGATGTTGTGGTATTAAGATGTTTACATATTTTATACAATTAATTAGAAGATGAACTAATAAATGTTCAGTAATAAACTTAGATTAGTAGTCATTTTTTAGCTAACATTCGAATTACTATTGAAACTTGTTTAAAATATCTTTTCGCAATTCCCTTTTCTCAAATTAATTCATCAAAAATATTTCAAATTCTTATCAATAATACAAGTGTACATGAAAGTTTTCGTAATGACCATGCCGAAAGTTTATCCATTAAAACTTCAAAGATTAAATCCATGAGATGATCGAAATGTAATTTAAATGAATTTTAAAAACTTTTATTTTATCTAAAATTGAATAAAAAGAACAGAAAAATCTATTACTTACAGACGAGAAAACTTTTTGATCCGTCAAAATTCATCTCGGAAATTTGAAACTGATCTTTTCCTTTACATCGAAATTTGTGTTAAGTCCTCAAACGCAGTTTTGTGTCAGCTGACGAAACATTGTTTTATTGCAATATACAGACATCAAGATTGTCAGGGGCACACGACAGGATAAAAATAAAAAATAGAAAAATTAGACGAAGAGGAGGAATAAAATTATCATTTTAAAAATGTTTAAGCAATTAAAACATGTTAATTTTCCTTATCAACATACAAACATATTTATTAATTATTTTTGTACATATTATATCAGCCAATATCTTATAAATAACTTTTAAAATATATACCTCTGCGCATGCCTCAGGCAAAATCGCGTTGATGTCTCATACCGCGTGACTTCATGATAATTTTATCCACTTCAGATAGAACAAAACCCACCTTGCCCAACGGACAAAAACATTTAATGCTCGTTACACACAAGATGGACATACCTTTACCTGGGGATTAAAATCTTGCTCTAACTTTACTAGAAGTTAATTATAATGATTTTCTTTTGTTTCCGCTGATGTGGGTCTTGCCAGAATAATTTTTTTCGTGGGACATTTTTGTGTAATTTTTTGAGACACCGGAAAAAATAAATAAACAAACAAAAACAAAGTTCTGTTTTCCAAAAATTTACAAACAAATTATTCATTTTTCTCATTCTCATTATACGAATTTCAGAAAGATAGATCCAATTTTTTCAACGTTGACAAATTTTACTCGGTGACATCTGACATGATCACACTTGTAATAAAACATAAAAGTCCTAAACTCTTAACAGCTAAAATGTTGTCATAGCAGCTAGTGCACTGATAATTATCTGGCACATATATTTTGTTGTTCTAGTTAAATTTCGTCCATATTCTCAAGGGAAAAATCCTTACGATGAGCTGTACACATAAACGAGACAATGTTTCAGATGTTTGACCCCAGAGTGACACCTCTTTAAAGATCATTAAGAAGATATTGATACAGGTTTAATTGGTTTCATTTTATAAATTAATGCAGGTATTTCAATGACTGAGAAAGGTTTTGGACATTCCAGAACAAGATTCCTTATCTGATTACTTTTCAATTCAATTCAATTCTTTATTCACTCAAAACCAGATCACTGGTACAAGAGGTACATATACACATATATACAATCAAAAATTACAGACAGGGTCAAAAAATAGACAAGTATATAAAGAAAAAAGAAAAGAAAGTAAACATATAATCAGTTATATATATGGAGGATTCAAGAAGGACAGACAGTTTTGAAGATTTTCTTAATAAATTTTAACAATGATTTTTGTATTTCTACATTATTTGTATTCATAAGTTCATTAAATTTGAAAGTGTTAGGATTTTTACAATAACTATTTTGGAGAAATATTTTTTTGTCATTCGAAAAGAACTTGCATTCCATAACATAATGAAATTCATCACCAATAGTTTTACAATCACAAATGGTACATATTCTTAAATTTCTATCAATATGTTTCAATTGGAAAATGATGATTACACGTTCGTAGTTTTGTAAGTGTAACTCTTAAATCTTTTGGTAAATTCAGCAGATAATTTTCGAAATCAAAGTTTGTTTTAAAAATTCTATAATTAATACACTTGGGTGAACTATCAACAATGCTTCTCCATTCTTGTTCAAATTGATTTTTTAGGGTATCTTTAATAATTGACTTAAGCCAGTTAAAACTATGAAATGTTTTACTTGTCCATATATAAGACAATCCACAAGAATTAAGCACATCTTGTACACATTTTATCCATGGATGTACAAACGACCCATCGATATAACACCTATAAGAATATGAATAAATCACATTTGTAAGCTTACTTTCATGGGCTGTTAAAATTTTTGCCCAGTATACATAACCATTTTTAATTTTATGAATAATGACAGTGGATATCTACCTGTTTCTCCATACACCATGCAATTTGGGGTACTAGATTTAAGGTTAAGAATAAATTTCAGAAATTTTAAGTGCACTTTTTCTATTATGTCTAAATTTTCATACCCCCAGACTTCACAAGAATAAAGTAAAATTGGGTTGATGACTTTATCAAACAAGTCTAGCTGACGATTAATTGGTAAATTAAAATAGCGAATTTTACGTAAGACTCCATACATTGCTTTTGATGCTTGTTCTGCTAAATGTTTTTTTTTTTTTTTTTTTTTTTTTTTTTTTTTTTTTTTTTTTTTGCATTATTAAACTTTCCACTTCTTGACAGGAATAAACCCAAGTAACAGAATTCTCTCACATTTTCAATAGACACACCATTATATAAAAATTTACGTTTTGCCATCGGACCTTTAGAAAATATTAAAACTTTTGTTTTGGCTACGTTAACACGGAGTTTCCATAAATCACAGTATTCAGCAAACACATCAAGAGACTTTTGTAAATCAGAAGCAGATTCGGACATTAAGACCGTATCATCAGCATAAAAAAGTATACATAGTTTCAACATAACAAACATGTCATCTTGCATTTGTTGACTAGGACATGTAAAGCCATTTATTTGATTTCTGGTTAAATAATCCTCTAGGTCATTAATGAACAATGAAAATAAAAAAGGTGACAAATTTTCCTCTTGTCTAACACCAACATTACACATAAAGAAAATCTCATAAGTGTTGACCTATTTGTACCTTTGATTTAATACTCCTATACGTGTTTCTAATAAATCTGAAACATTTTCCATCAATTCCACTTTGTAAAATTTAGTCCATAGACCATGTCTCCAGACCGTATCAAAAGCTTGCTTGAAATCTACAAAGACACAGAATAACTTCTTTGCTCAGAAAATCAATAACAAATATATTGTCAGTAGTAGAGTAACCTTTCCTAAAGCCTGTTTGAGAATCATTGATTAACTCTATCTCATCAGCAAAAGTATTTAAACGGTCACAAAGTATACTGGTGAAAAGTTTTCCTAAACAACTAAGTAACGTAATTGGCCTGTAATTTTCAGAATGGCTTCTGTCACCTTTACCCTTATACATGTAAATAGGTTTAACTAACCCTATTAACCAATCCTCTGGTATTATACCACTATCAAAAATCACATTGAATAATTCTACATACAGATGAGAATTTGCCAAATTATTATAAAATGAAAAAGGCAATATTTACATTTCCAATGTCTTTGTCTGAGATAAAATTACAAATTCTACATAAATCTACTGGTTCATCGATAGGCGCGGTTAAAAAAAATCACGTGCGGGGCGGGACAAATAGAGACAGAAGCAGGGCTATTAGCACGGGAATTTGCAGAATCAGGAGCATGTAAATATAAGGAATAACTGTCAGATTTTTTTGATTCATGACGATGATCAATCGATTGGCTTGCGTGATAATTTTATGCATAAACGCCTTCGGCGTTTATGAAAATTATCACGCAAGCCAACTCGATTGATCACTTCATGAATCCAAAAAATTAGACAGTTATTCCTTAATTAAATGATCACCCGGTGCTGTCGTCATTTAGCTTCAAGACGTCCGACACCTCATTATTTCTCAATATCTGCTCCTTCTGTCTCAATAATCTTGATGAGATTCCCTGGAGTTTAGTAAAACCTAAAACCTGTCTTGTTTATATGACATAACAATGTCATGAACAGCTGATTTCAATACATATAAAATTGTAAATGAATCTTTAGTTAGGGAAGGATCCTTGCTTGATTATGCCAGCATATTTTGCTTGTTGGAGTTCAATATAAAACACACATGATCAACGTCACTTTTTGACGAGACTTTTCACACCTTGACTACAAATAGACATTAACTGCTCATCTCTCATCTCTTTGAATCTCTTTTGGCATTTAATAACAAGTACTCTGGATTCATTTTATTTCTCTGTAGCCAGTTTAAACTTTCCCTGAGTCTATACCAGTTTTTTTTTTTTTCAGGCGCAAAACTTTATATATTATGGAAAAAGAAACCCCTCCCCCTTTTTGACGTCATTTCCAAGCCCTTAATTGTATAGACACTCCTTATAAAATATACGATAAAATATCATAGAACGTACAGAATGGGGTAAAAATTGCACATTTTGCGGAACAATCGTGTCCCATCACATGCCTGAATTAACGGAATTTTTTGGATGTCAAGTGCTCATATCAAAAGAGTTTTTCTTAGTTAGACTCAGGTTAAAAAAAAACGTCATGTTCGCGGTTGCACCGCCTGGACATTCCATTGCTTATAAAAACATAACTAATTTATTAAAAAATAAAAGTTATGAATTGTGGTTTATTCTATAGATAGAAAATATGATGTTTACTAAATATTTTGAAATTCATTGATGTACCTAAAACGGTTTTAATTTTATGGCGCTAGTCCACGAACTTTTTGATAACCCCTCGTATATACTCGTTCACAACATAATCACCACCAGGGGTTTTATTTGTTTTTAACTTGTTTACTGCATTCTTTATTTCTTCACATGTGATAGATTGATTAAGGATACTTTCATTACTTAAGTCTACGTTAATATCTATGTCATTATCTGGGGCAACGCCTTCATTTGCTTTCTTCAAAAAATCAAACATAGAATTTATATCAACACTAGTTTTATTTTTCGGATTTGAGCTGTTCAAAATATGCCAATATTCTTTCAGTTTTCCTTTTTGTAGTGTTTTGAGCTTATCCGAGATTCCGTTATTATATTCATATTACATTTGTCCATAATTCTTTTATATTCCTTACTCTTATTCTTTTGATTCTCCAGAGATTTAACTGATTTTTCTTTATTATTTAAGCGATTGGCCAAATGAAATTTTCTTCTAGCCGTGCGGCAGTTGTTATTAAACCTGAAACACAAGGGTTAAATATTCTCATGTTAGCCATTTTGAATTGACCATCATCTAGTAAGTTTAATATCATTTTTATGATAATTACCCGAGACTCCATGAGCGAGAATTTTAACTATCATAAATATTGTGCATAGCCTTTAATATTTTTTAATGTGGAACTGCTTTTAGGAGAAACATAAAGTCTTGCAAATAATTTGTGCAATTAAAATGTTTCTATCTAAAA